ATCTTTGGACGAGCTGTCTGAATCATGGCAACGCATCGAAGTGGTGTAGTGAGAGAAGTTTGAAGTGTAAAAAATGAAGTTCGTTGACCGATCACCACCATTTTGGGATGCGCCACGAAATCTGACTTTTATTTGGAATGGTAGACTTCTCTGAGCTAAAAAAATCTCTTCTTCCTTCTGGTTCGAAGGTTTGATTGTCCTGGGGAGGGAGTATTGATAATAGATCCAATCTCCGTGGATCATTTGGGTGATAGTGCGCCACTTCTACCTACTCCGAAGGGAAACCATCAAAAAAGTAGGGTAGAGCGTCTGAATCAGACATAACCATTGTAGTGTACTGAGTCACTGGGCATAGTAAACAGGCAGACCGACAGCGCTCCGGAAATTATGGTGCGTCTATCTTCAGAGACAACGAAAAACACAGTTTAAAATCACCTTAGCAAGAAACTTCGCCGTTTGACCGAATGATTTTGATTCAAAAATAGTTTAGATGGGACACTACACATAGGTAGAATTGGAGGGAAAAGACCACCAAGACAGCCATAACAACAAAAGACAATGGCCGACGTGACAATGATAGCTTTTTGATCGTAGCCAGTCACAAACTTAATGCGCACTTTAGGTATTTCCATTGCTCGAAGATTTGTGTCAGTAATCGAACTCGCACTGTAAATTGAAGAACCGGTTCGAAAGTCATCCTTTCTCCGCTGCAGACAACCAACACCTAAGTGAAGTATCGATCGTAAAGTAAGTATCATTTGTCTAGCATATTGAAAGAGATCATGACAAATTCATACGTTCTTACCGTGGTCAATTCAAAAGCCAAACACTATGCTTGCTGGAAACTTATATTGAACTTGCTCAAACTGTTATGAGTCTCGGGACAAATTCAGGAAAAGGCATGGATGACCGGAAAGAGTACTGATTTTGTCCTTGAACGAGAGATTCCAGGTAAGACTAAATTGACTTCACCCCTCACCTTCTACCAGGTGGTTGAATGACTTATGGCAAAGAAAATTTAAATGAAAAGATACGACTGGTTACAGAATAACTCCTTCGACAATTAAATACCAGGCACATAAGAGAGATGACAGTATGAGACTGTGAATGAGGGAGGGGTGTTGAGCGGACACATATTTTTACTTTTACTATTGTTAGAGGTAGTTTGGTAGATTCGGAGGTGAAAATGTAGTTGGGGGGTGCCAGTGCCCTTTTGTGCTCTGCGTCTCTTCATTTCTTACCCCATCTAATCATNTCACCCATCCCGGAGCTCCTCCCCTTCTAAAAGTTAGGGAAGGAGCTCCGGGGTGGGTGAATCAGTTGGATGTTCAATTCTTACCCCATCCCAGCCTTTTGCACAAGATAATCATCTCTCCCACCCCGGAGCTCCTCCCCTAACTTTTAGAAGGGGAGGAATCCATCTCTGCGACCTGTATGCACTCTGCCGCCGGTGTCAGGGACGCAGAGCACAAAAGGGCGCTGGCACCCCCCAACCACATTTTCACCGATTCGGAATAGGCATCCGCAGTGGCCGTCAAAATTGCAACTATGTGGGCTTGAGCAAGGTCCTTGAATGCCAGCCTGAATGGTCAACTAAATAAGCTGATAGAGACTTTTCAAAGGTCCCGATGAGGGTCTACAAAACAGAAGACAACTAAAAAAGCAAAGCAAGGAACATGGATAGTCAGAGAATCTACAGGACTAATTTTAACCTGCAACACATAGCTCTTGGGTCTCTTCATGCTCAAGGAATGATCAATTTCAAGTTCTCAGCAGCAAAGTTATGCCTTCAGGAGCTAGCTGGGAAGAACAATCAGTGTGGAAGGATAGAAATCATTTTAGAAAGCTGCGACAGTCAGAGGACCGATGAATCAGAATGGATAGGAAACGAATAGTAGCAGACTTGATCCAGAGCTTGTGCTAAATGATGTCGCGCCTCCTGCCTTTGCTCGACCTCAGCAGCAGAAAATCACGACAACGAATGACACAAATTTGATTACATAAACAGTTGTCCGCCCATAGAGTAGAGGTCAACCGTTACTTTGTCATTGGCACGTAGGCACAGTACGTGATAAGTCAGAGGTGACTGATAAACACCGTCACAAGATCTTGAAAAACTTCCAAAACACTTGGGAAAATGCACGTACACCACCAAAAAACTAACTGCGAAACGCGACGGAAGGGAAAAAAGGAAACTCGTACAGCAACAGTGGATTGGCGGAGTGAACTGAATTGTTTTTCACGCTCGATTTTGCTGTGACAATTGCTAACAGACATGACGTATTATCTCGAAACGAGAGGTGGCTTTCCAAAAATGAGGTGATGGTCGAATAATACCAGCCGAGCAGCGTCTCTTCTAAACCGACCTAACTTTTCTTATCATCAAACCCCTACAAATGGAAGAATTCCCTCTCGAAGGAAGGCAGAACCACTGTTTCGGACATCTACCAACTCTTTCATTCACTATTCAACGGTTAACAAAATCACAGATAGAGAAAGTTCAAAGAGAAAATGATCAGCAATGAACATTTCAGAAGAGTGCTGCTTTTTGGTCACTGGCACTGCTGAAATTACCATAACTAGGACTGTAACCATTCATTTTATTAGGCCAATCATTTCAACTATTTGTTTGGCTTGTTACTGTATTGGAAGGAGGATACCGCTTGCATAAATGGTGCAGCTACGAATTCTACGAAGTGGGATCCGAAAAGAAAAGCAAGAAATTCTTCGCTATCTGAAGACAAGTGCTGGTTCGTTTGGCCGCATAACTATACGAGCCAAAGTCAGTCATAACCTGAGGCTCATCCGCTCATGACCGACTAAATGGGATGTTCAGAGGGTCTTGAGTATACTAGTGGAGGGATTAGCCAACGAAAGAACAGACGAGACAAGTACTAGAGTTACTAAAAAAAAACTTCAAAGAACGAAGTAATAAAACAAAATAGAAGTTGACTGAAAGGAGAAATTTGCAAAATTTCCGAAGGAAGTGAGGCTGATACGTTCGAGCAGATTTACAGGGTTCTAGGAAGGACGTGAGCACAGAAGACAGGAGATGATAGTGGCTGAGCCGCATTCTGAGCGAGCGGTAGTTCGGGCAACGTCATGTCTGTTGGTACGCCTCTGTTGTTTAGGAAGCTCCTCTGTTGGAGAGCAGTAAGCGATCTTGTCTTGGGTGTGTAAGCAGATGGTAGCTCTAATTTGGAGCAAAAGAATTCTATACTTCGCTAACACTGATCTCTGTGTGCATAGTGTCTGGGACCTCCATTTGGTTTCTTCGCCAGTGAATCAAATCACTGGATTACAACATCAGATCATTCATAGAAATGACCATTCGCACATTGCAATCCCCATCACGATTCTGAATCCTCAATTCTCAATCGTAACGCATTTCCGCAGTTTTCATTTTAAACTTTAACTTTGAAGTGATTTATTTGTTCATTTCACTCGGAGCTAGCCATTGAGGTAAAGAAAAACTGAACATAAACGGTGTGAATTCAATTAAAAAGAATAAAAGCATTGAAGGTTACTAAGGAAATGCTTCGTAAAGCTCAATATTGAAACGCCAATCCGGACATGAAGACTACAGTATCCAAGGAACTCGACGTTATGGACAACCTTTCACTGTAGATAATGGCACTTCAAGAGTAACGATCGGGCAGCGTGAGTTTGTACCTAAAGTATGGGGCTCATACGAGCTCCTTCCGTTACATCCACGGCCCCATCAATTTCGAGTTGGGACAGACGTCTAGTCATAATTGGCCTTAGTTGACACCCTTATCCTTTATCTTTATCTCCCTTTATCGAGGCTTTGAGAAAATACGATCTTGATCTGCGTCCCAGAAGCAATCCACGCTTCTCTAGGTGAATATGCCAAGCAGTTCTTAGAAGTCGCAGGAGCCTCTGCGTAATGACAAAACCTCATAGCAACTACTGAAACAGGTGCTAAGACGTCGCTGAGAGTTTCGTTAATCATCCATCGTGACATTAACTCATGAAATTCATTTTGATTACTCATTGAATACGCCATTCCTTTATCTCAGCCTATTCCAGTAACTACTAGGAACCAGATAAATAGTCCTTGGTATAGACTGAGGAACGTTGTCTGTTCCAGTAATGACAAGCAGTATTCTTACCTGTTTTTCTGAAAAATCTTTCAAGAAGTTCTTGAGATCACTGAAAATCGCTACCAGTAAATTCACTCTTCACTGTCAAAGAGTTTGGGTAGCCTCCTTCCGCACTCTATAAATGTTTGGAGTCACAGATGGTGATATTTTGAGGTACCCTTCTGGTTGAAAAACGGAAGTATTGGTTGAGAGGAAGCCCATCTGTGGCAAAGAAAGCCAGAAAATCCGTCGACTCTGAGCGGAAGAAGGGTTCTTCAAAGGAGCGAAATAGAAGTTTTACGAGATTACCATGAGGAAAATGGCATGGAATGGGTATTCAAATCAGGCCAACATTGCCCAAAACTGCCTTACACTATCACCATGGGTAATGACGAGCTGTTAGAACTTCTTTCATGGGTGTCTCCTGTGAACGTGCAGCCTGTTCAATGCCGTTAAAGCTCGTCCACCTTTGGTATCGCATACAACCGGTACCATATTCAAGCTTTTGGAACGCCCTATCTAAGCCGTTTTCCGACCTGACAGGGCCACATATGGTGCATGGAGAGTCACAGAGTTATCCTTAGGTGGTATCTCAGAAACCCTTTTCATCGTAAACTGTGCCTTTAATGTTTGGAATTACTTTTTTGGCATAGTGCCCATACCTATTAATGCTTGGTTTTGAGGCCACGATTTTAGTCAGATCCCAACAGTTGCAGGCAGATTTAATTTCTTTGAACAAGACAGTTCCGAATCGGCTGATCTCTGAAGGGCCCCAAAGGCCTGGGTTACATAACTTGTGTGGGTTATATATATATTTTTTAAATGATAAGCTGTTGTGTAACGGTACAAAGCGATGAATGTAAAGCAAGCCTTTATGTACACCGATAGTACTGACAAAATAAATGATTCGTGAGTTTTGATAGTGGAAAAGAAATAGATAAGGTTTATGTAACATCCTATACATAGTCATGCAGCTAGCTGTGGCTGCTCGGGTGCGCTTCGTTGCGCGCGTCCGTCGAAACTAGGTTACGCCGCAGCCGTCGCGTGCGTCAGGTCAGCCCGCGATACTTGCCAAACGTCGCAGTTGTCAGCGGGGCATACGAACTGCGCTCGGTCCAGGGCAGTGAGCCAAAGAGAAGATTACACGGACCAATGCAAATCATTCGCTCCACCGACTGTTGGTGGTACTGTAGTGTTGTCTCGAGACCTCAGTGGGGTGCGCCGCGCACGAAGTGAGTGTGGTGACCTACTTTCGAAGGACGCGCGCAACTGACGTTCTCCGTGGCTGTTCACTGCTGTAAAACGATAAATCCGATTTCAGTGCAATGTGAACTGTTTTCATTACGATTTTGCCGTCATCGTTATCGGTTGAACGACGATTCTTGTTGTTGATGAGGTGTTAGGACCATTTTTACGTTGATAAGTACGGCCAACCATAATATACATCTGTTCAAAGAAAGCCGAGCGATATTCCAAAGAACGCCATAAACATACGTAGAACGTTTGACTATAGCAAAGCAATGCGAAAAAGACCTGAAATTTTAGATACTCTAAGTATTATGGAAAAACTGGATACGTTCTTACACCATTGCACAGAGGCTATGGTCTTTTCCGTCATGGTGATCTCGTACAAAATCTATTTTGATTACTTTTAAGAGCCTTGTTTTTCACAAAATCGGCGAAGTTTCTCGCTTCCTTCACTACCGATGTTACAATACTTCCACTTTTTGACTTCGAAATTTTCGTGAATTGTGTTTTATGCTGAATGGGAGGAGCGCGAGACTTCTTATATGTATATCTGGGCTCAACCCCAATTTGATAACATAATGGACTGCATCTGTCGTTACTTTCTGGCGCTTCATAAAAACTCACCATGTTCGATTGAAAAATGGCCAAAGCATCATCTCTTAATCCTATGGCATAACCAAGATTCACACCGAGGATTGCCATGTACCAAGAAAAGACAAAGACGATGGCTGTGACTTTGAGACGTTTAATCACTCTGCGCGACTCTTGACATGTCGAGGACTTCGCTGAAAACTTTTAAGTATAACTTCTTCAGTCCTTAACATAAAATTTATTTCTTTAAATCCATTCTTTGTATTGCACGTTAATGCATCTGCCCATTTGTGAGGGGTTGGCGTGTAATTTTCTTATTATTTCGTTGGTACATACGACATGAGCAGCTCATAAATAATTTCAACTTAAGAAACACATTCCACGTAGTAATTTCTTGAGATTCAGGTTCTATACTCTTACTTACTATACTTAGAGCACAATGGAGCACAAACTGTAATTCTACGCTGGCTAGTACTCTGTCGTCAGCCGCCGAACAGTAATTTTGATGAACAAATGAATGGCTCATCGACTGGCCCTTTTTTCATCCGAAAAACCCTATTGCTAGGTGTCTACTATAGAAAGTTGAAGGGTAATTGTGAATTAGCTTTTAGCCTAACGCTCATTCCTCTTTTTGTCAACTACGGCACGCAGAATTTCATTTCAGGGTGTCCAGCGATTTCCTTCGGAATCTTCGTGCGAACAGAGAATTTGTCCCACCCCCTACTCCACCTCTCCCCGTTATCGCAAATAACTCCATACTCGTCTACAGGAATATTATTTCGAAAGCAGTAAAGGCTGTTGCAGTAAATTTACCCAAATTGCTAACTGCCGCTTACCGTGGGAGCTCGCGAAGAAGTACCACCACCCATCGAGTGCAGTATGTTGACTGGGTGGAAGTACACATATCGTCGTGGCTAGCTTCTCCCACAAATTTATTTAACGAAAGGATTCAGTTCCTGGCAACGTGGCATAACGGTGCTTAGTAACCCCAATTTTCAGGAAGCTTCACCATAAAACGATTCAACTATGCTTCTCTCACAGGTGATAACCTTACAGCGACCAAACCCTTGTATATATCGCCTAGGATAGACAAGACAGGACTCGAGAGACTATAGCACAATGATAAGAATAGTATGGGCTAGTGGCTCGACTGTATTCTCAATTTTTTATAATTAAGCTTTATGAAAGCTTGAGAAAGTACCTTTCAATCTCACGAGTATGATAATAGTCACATAAACGAAAACAACTACAGAGTTAATAACGACATTTGATGATGACCAGATCATGCTTACGGTAGGTGCAAGTCCTGAAATGTTTTGCTGTATTTGAATGAACTGAAGCAATGTACAAACCACTACTGAACTCTTGAAGTCTGTCTAATCGTGAAGATGAGCTTCTAAATGGGACCATTCAATCGACCTAAGCCCTCGAAATGGAGAGAGATGCAATAGAGGCTTCATAGAAAATGGGAGAGGTTAGAAATGCTGGCCGAAATTGGGTGGTGATTAGGAAAACTTCACCTTCAAAGGCATTCGCTTGGTTATTTCCGCTAGATATTGTGGGCAAANTAGAGCGTTTTTCCTTCACTCTTATGTGACTGCAGACTTCTGTGTCAATGTTTGACCATCAATCTCGTCGAGACCGTTAAAAGCTGTCTGAGGGATAAACACTGACTTGTAGATTGCAAGTACCAGCCGACAATAGCATCAACTAAAACTGCATGTCCATGTCCCCCTGGTCCCTATTCAACAATTAGTCTATTACTAGAAAGAAAACAAGCTCAGAGCAAGTCGAGCAACCGAATTAACAATAGAGTATTGCAACGTATAAGAAACATCCCATTGTTAGTTTAAGAGTGCATTGGTTAGAAAGAACGATAATGCTATAGTGCCAACGTTTTTAGGACTCAGGACACCCATTTGTGAGTCACTACTGACACATTTTCCGATAATTTTGAGGTTGGATCTAATTTTGAAAGTATTGTTTAAGTGATAGTCTGGAATAGAGCGTGAAATTGGAGAAGAAAACCCAAAGACCGAAAAAAAGCTTAGAAAAGGAGTAAAATCAAGAATTGGACGAGAACGTGACGACAAATACTTGATGGAAAGGGTATATGGTCGAGCTTATTGTGTACAGTTGGATACAGTAAGTTGCTTGGGTACAACATGTGCGTCCCGGTGCGAATGATGCAATCACTACAGCCTCTGCAAAGCCGCGAACACTCGTCCATCAATGGATGTGTACGTCGAGCCGGTTTTGGGGTCCTGATTTCCCCCTATCAAAACCGTTCTTTGACGGGACAGTGTCCCCTATGCTCTACCTCGGGGTCACAGATTCATCCCAGGATGAGATTTGGGGACGTGAACTGCGCCTTTACCGAGAATTCTTAGTCACCACTCCGATCACCCGAATGTGGTTCATGGTAGCTACGTAAGCTGCACACAACTCATAGTAACGAGTAAACTGAGCATTCAGAATGTCCTCGTTAACTCAATTCAGGAAAGGGCAAGCTTGCTGTGAAACTGGGGTGCATGACCGTATCCCTGGACGGGTGTCTGTTTTCATGAAAGGAAACTTCAATAACAAGCAGTACCTAGTGGTGGGTTACAGAAAGCTATGACGTCGTTATTTCGGGCTACGAAACCCCACACTGCAATGGAAAGAGCGTACAAGGTTCCAAGAGCAATCATAATCGCAAGATATGGCGTTGTGGAGCATCTACGATACCTGAAAAAAGACAAGTTCGTCATTAAAAGGGGCAGTTCTTGATGACCGCTGATCTCTTTCTCGAGTGAAATATAGAATAGCTGAAAATCTGAACAAACGTACCATATAGGAAACAAGAGTGCCGCCAATAAATCGATACCCATCAATAAAGTTGTCACAACTTGCTGACATATCGCGAATACATAGAGCGTTATAAATGGATAGCACTGTTTTCTTGTTAATTGCCGATCGCTAATGATAAAAACCGCATTTGTCAATTCACCAAGAAGACAAATAATGTGATAGAAAGCATTCAGAGCAAGAAGAAACCCTAAAAATCGATTATACAGTGGCAGTCTACTAAAAGTAGGAGTAAGAATAAGTAAAGTCTTAAGACATTAATAGATTTCGCCTGAGAAACGTCCTCACGCGTTCGACTTCCATTCAGAATGTAGTGACATATTGAATACTTATGTGCCCTATGCAATCACTTGTGGTGGCCAGCCGATGTACAGGTCGGTGCCTCTACCGTCCCAGACGAGACTGGTACCAATTGGCCGACATCGGGGAGATGAAAGGCTTGGTCGGCCTAGGCGGATGTCGATCCGGGATTCGAACCCATGACTATGCCGCATAGCTACTATACCTTCTCCACTTTAGGAATAGGAATATAGGCGTTATTCTCATTCACTATACCGGTCTCAGGTTGAGCTTTAAATGCTCTTGCATTGATTTCTGAGAACCCTACTGAAGATTTTGCAAATCTATCCCACTTCCAGAATGGTTTACTACAATCGGATACAAAATCTGTTGCGCTGAAAAGGTAAAAAGAGCTTTCCCGTGAAATCGGAAGGCCGTTGGTGAATCCGAAAAAACCGAGAATTCAACCAGATCACTCCAAATTTCCCCAACTTTTCAATTTTTCTTTTAGAAAAATCAGCGTTTCATTAAGTAAATGAATCACCAGGCTTCGTGTGAGTAGACTTTTTCCGGTATGTTGTCCAAAGCAGTTGAATGTTCCCAAAAAGGCCGAAGATATTGAAGAAGAATATTTCCGATAATATGCAATATTTAGCGATTCCCACAGCTTCAAGAGACATTGTCTTTGGAAGGTTGGTTCGAAATATACCTACAACTACTGATGTATAAGTAAATGGAATACGAAACAAAGTAAACTTCAAATAATTCATATTCACAATTGGACTGAATGGTACTCAATGGGGAGATGAAATGGGAAGTAATATCGTCACAATATTAATTAATTTGGAATCTTAAAAAAATGGACTTCAGGATTAGGCTCATTTATTAAAGTTATTAGGCCAATTCATATGAAATAGCACATGATGATTAGCCCTAATAGCGATTATTTAATCTGATGAGCGTCATCCATTAACAACAGAAAAGGTACTTCATTGCTGAGTACTTTTTGTCAAGGTAAAGGGTAAAATACGTACCATAAAAGTATTAGTGGAAATCCCAAGAAGGGTGTGGTCAGCAATTATTTAATCACACTTTAAGACTAATTGGTAATTGTTTAGTACAAGAATTAAATGCCCTTAGTTCCTGCGATAGCCAGTTTCGCCTAGCGTCATCCACTGAGATTAAAAAANAAAAAACATAATTTATAAAATGCACTATGAGATGATTGTCAATTTGATGATCCGTTCCATTGGAAAGCCCTTTTCCAGTACAGTAAAGTACCTATAATCACCGTATCTGTTCAAGAATTTCATGAATGTGCCCTCTCTAAATCACGTAATCGTCAAACAAATGACCTGATATATTGGAAAGCACTTTTTCAAAAAGATAATTCTAATATTGAAAGCATTATTATAGAAAAATCAAAGAGGGCACTCTGGAAATGAGCTCATTATAGGCTTAATTTATAATTGTATAGCACATATGATTAAGGCTAATAGCTTCTGCTCAGCGCTCATTATACCTAGAAAAATTTGGCACAAAAATATTCCCCAATGACTAGAAGGGATTAAAAACCATTGTGCTCTTCTAAGAAAAACTGAGGAAAAGCAAGACGCAAAGGCATGGACGAAGTCTGATGAGGGGAGGCGCGAATTTTCCCCGGCTGAACTTATGGTCGGACTTAACTCGAGCCATTTGGAGTAACAGAACGGGTAAGGAAGAATAAGAGACCCACGGAAGTGGTACAAGCACTAAAAGGGGTCCCACGTGCCGTCCCACTAATCTCTTCCTGTTCTCAAAAAAAGTGCGTCACTGAAACGTTCATTTCCTTCTTTTTCTAATCGCATATTACGAAGTACCCTTTTTGAAACTTCCGTCGGCTTTGAACTATCTAACATACAGTACTACTAACATACAGTACTATTAGTGCAACTCAGAAAGTGGGACTTTTGCACTGGGACAAAGTGGAACAAATGGAATAAGTCGGAGTCTAAGCAATAAAACTAGTTATTACAAGCTGGTGGGCTTACGCAATTTCAATGCGAGTGATACATTATTCAATTTTCTATGCATATTTGATGAATTTCACAAAATTTATTTAATGACCTCAAATTCAAAAACTTTCTTAAGTTCTTCTCGGTAAGGCCATAATTTTTTTTTGGACTTTTTTGATTATTCGTATTTTTATTCGCTATCCGCTAATAAAATGAACCATTTAAAAAAATCAGTGAGAACCCCATAAATGTTTTAATGAAAGCTGTTTCTTTTTTATAGTTTAAGCTTCCTACGCTGTGGGAAAGGTTGTTGAAGGGAATAGTTCATGATAATTGGTTTCCGAGATTTCCCGCTGGAACGAATTTGCAACCCCCAAGAATAGAGGCATGGACGGTTGTAGGGCAGAAAAAAGGCCTAAACAGGGCCTAATAAGGGCTACAAAACCGGTTAGGCCGACTCAAACACTCAAAGTGGCCGTGTTATGCCGGCCTTCTTATTACTTTGCTATTCAGGTGACTAGAAAAATAGTACGCTAATATGAGAGACATCCAGACAGCTATCTCGTGTTCCCAAAATCCAACAATTTTCGCCCTTTCTTAGCTACGTTTGCACTATTCTGCACTATGGCTTTCATTATTTCACTTAAATTAGATACCTCAAAATTGTCGTGAACTGTGGCTTTAATGAAACCAGTAAAAAAAGTAAAACGCAATGGCACTACGGTAAGGGTCGTTGAACGAAAAAAATTCCTTTTCGTCGAGTGCTCAAAAATAATTTCCGGGAAAAATATGTGATAAAACACTTCGCGTACGGCTCGGCATCACGGTTGTTTGATGTAGCTGATGTCTTGAATTCTTCCTTGAGCTTTGATGAACACTTTTTCGAGTTGACGATTCGGAGGTATCTCCTTCTTCAGAGTCTGAAAAGATCNCCCCCCCCCCCCCCAAGGCACCCACGTAATCTAAAAAATGGCCTCTTACCGTAGCTTCGTGGATCGCTCGATGCCAACCAGCAACCGATGGAGGAACAAGTGTCAGTTTACCTTAATCTTTATATAGAAAAGTAGTCAATAGCTGTAACACCTAATATCACAGCGATATTATTCAGGTAAACTCTATAAGTGAATTGCCCTTTTTTAGATGGAATATAATGCAGTTAAAGGGTGACAGATTGGCCTATGTCTAAACCTAATTCCCTCTGAGATACCATAAGAAAGAGTTGCTCTGATATAGCAAGGCGAGGGATCTCCTGGGAGCTTTCGAGGCTAAATAGCTCACTACTGAATGAACTCTTCAACAAAATGACTGATAGATAATGATGTTTTTCAGAGAGAATCGTAAACCCGAATGTCACACAGCCATCAGAGCAGACAACAAATGTCACGTCTCTAGCTTTTGAGATAGTTAGCACTTGAGGCCGTTGAAATTGAAGGTATGACATCTACTGGTAATAATTTAGTGAATTACTATCATTTGTGGGGAATATCGGAAAGAAAACTGTATAGAAAGTGTTGTATTACAACTAAAAAATTAATTCCAGACCGCTTGATGTTGATGAAGCTATGTAGCATCGTTAGATGCACTTCTTCCCACCTTTTAAACTGTACTTTTTGAATCGTTTAATTAGTTTTTTTTTGTTATAATATAGTAATTAGTGTATTTCACCAAGTGCTTTAATGAGAAGGTATAATAAATCCCGTTTTGCGAACAACAGGGTTCCCTTTTGCCATTTTCTGAGCCTCCGTGTTTTCCGATTTCTGATGATGGCTTCAGAATCGCAGAGACGTTGACAACTTCTAATCTCTACTTACTTCGGAGATTGGAAGTTATTTATGCGAATTTCAGGCTCCGAAGAAGGCGATACCGCTGAAGGCGATACCGTTAGCCCTGAATAAAAGTTGTGACCAATCTTGGAGGCTAAGTTAGTCTACAAAAACCTTATAGTGTGCTACTGGGCAGAACTTTTGAAATCTGATACTTCGAACGTCAACTACAAGCCTATGGGTAGCCAATTTCTGTTTACTTATCACACTGAATTGTATGGGTATTGTTTCCACCTCTCTCCTTATTGTAATTCAGATTTTAAGTGGGACCCACGATAGAGTGTAAACAAATGAAATAAAAGAAAATGGCTGCAATACCTAAGTTCGTTTATAAGATAGGTTTGATTAACGTTTTAATGTGTTTATTCAATGAAAGATTTATGTTTACTTAGCACATAAATCTGACCTTCGATTCTCGCTGAGTTTGAGATGCTGGATTTTCTGTTCGGGGTCAAAAATTGGCTACGATTAAGAGCTGAAAACGAAAGCTATAGAATTATTGATAGTATAGCGAACGTAA